ATGAATGTTAAAACTAGAATTAAAAGGAAAAAAACTAACTCAAAACTGCATAATATGCTTTGGGCAACAATCCAGAATTGAAGGGCAGTGGGATAAGTCTTTTAAAACAACAAATATTTTGGATTGCTGTAAAAATTAGTGTAATTAAAACTTTATTTTGCAAAGCACTGGGTTTCAATTTTCTCATTTTTTAAAAAAATAAATTCTTACAGTTATGTCCCGGTGCATCTACTGTGGGCCAGAAGACAATTTTCTTATGAAAAAAAACTATTAACACCTGTGATTTTATCAAGGACTTTAGTAAACAGTCTGCAAAGTTGCAATGTACTGGATACAGTACTATAGGGCACTTTTAACCTGCCATTAAAAGCTTATAATACAGCAAATTAGATAGCTGTGGCACCCTTTTTTAAATTGCACTTTATTAGTTTTAGAAATGTGGTGAAATATTGATGAAATTCAATGTTGCAAGCTTGTGTCTTTGCTTTTTTATGCAAAAAAGTAAATGCATGCTAAGCAGCATCGTAACAAATGCTTCTGAATGTAATATCTTGCTAGTGGCTTAAAACTTCTATTTTTAACAGATGCAACAGACTCCAGGTGTCTTTGCCATGGACATATTAAATGGAAGGAGTTAAACTTGTAAGAAATGCTCAGCTATCTTGCTTTTATTTTCCATTCTTCAATACCAGGTGACATAAAATTAGCTCAATGATCATGGGAGGGACTATTTGTACTGGTAAGGCTGTATATAGGAATGCAAGTTTCCCTTATTTATGGCTTTACTTTTTCATCAAAAGATGAGTAAATACCACTTTCAGAACTACTACAGGGGAATGGTAGGTCAAGTTTTGCTCTTGTAATTGATTTGTGGAAGCAGTACTTGCAGAGAGGAAATGTACTTCAAATACTCATTTTCTCAGTGAGTGTTTCAGTGGGTTTCAGTGAAGCTGAGAGCCTCACACTACAGAGATGCTGTATGGGTTGTCTGTGCATTCTTCAGTGGTAAGAACTACATCTCTGAAGCCTACCTCTATAAATACATGTTATCTTGAGTGAGCTCAATAATTTAATAACTTCATTGATTAAAAAGTAGAATCTATTTGAATGAGAAATATCCTATGCATGGGAAAACGAGGAGAGCTGCCTTTATATATAATTCCTAACAATTTCAAATTTTTTTACTAAAATTTATTAAAAAATAAATTAGTTGCAGTGTCTGGAAGAGAATTACTTCCACCTTTACTTAAAATATTGTGGGAGAAGATTATTCATACTGCAGAACTAACATTAACCTCAGTGTAAGAGCTTACACAAGTGAGCAAATGTGTTCAGGCAGGTTTAAAGAGAGGTGGAGGAGACTTTGAGAACACACATAGAGATCCAGATGTCTTCCTACTGCTGTGGTTGGGATAACAGCAGACTGATGTAGCAGAAAGGTTTAGATGCTTCTATATCTCTTTTCACAGTTGAAAATGGATCTTTAATCTTCAAAATTTTCAAGCTGTATAAAATGGGATATCAGTTGTCGATTGCTGTATGACGAGGACTTTTTCTCATGGCCTTGTGTGTGTTTTAAGTATATGTATATACAAGCTTTCTGTAAAAGACCACTTAATACAGAAGTTTGTAAAATTGGTTTGTGATGCTTCTGCTGAGCCATTCAGAGGAAAATAAAGGGCTGCACAAAAACTACTCCAGCTTAGGGTCTGGTATTGGCTGGTGGTGAGAGCCATCAATAAAGCAAATAGAAAAGAGACTAGAATTTTCAGATGAAGTGCAAGTGTAGAAGACTTTGAAGCAGCACAGCCCTCTTTCATGTTTTCAATAGCCTACTGTACAACAACATTATCTGGCTGCAAGGAACTTCACAAGGGAGGGTTTTTTCCTGGTGGAATTCCTCTATCTATGGAATACAGCTGGAAAAAGAGCAGTACTTCATTGCTGAGATTCTGACAGCAGTCAAATGGAAACGGTGATAATATTTATGAACTTTAACATTGATCCACACCTGGGTAAAATCACTGTTGGATAGGTGAAGGTCTTGGGATTTTCTGAAAGCAACTTGAAAGTTCTTTTTATGGCAGAGAAGATGAAAGATGTGCTGCTTGGGTTGTTTAGAGATCTGGGATTAGGCATCAAATCATATTTTTAGGTGGTAACACTTGGTAAGGTTTCTTATCCATTACAAATTTCTACTAGCTACCTCCTTTGACATTCTTGCTCTATTTATAATAACGAAGCACTTTATCACTCAGTAAAGAATGGAAGGTAGCTATGAAGAATAAATTGTATCATTTTGGCAAAAATTCTTCTGAGATGAGTTTCATTGTGTCCTCTTCCTGCACTGAGAGGGCATCTGTTTATAACAAAATCTATACATTTTTAACCTAGTTGTAATGTAAAAGAAATGTCTTGAAGAGAGTGAATTATGAAGAGTTCAGCATGGCTTGGTATCAACCATATAATGATTCAGTGTGCTATTTATAACTTCCTACTTACTGAAATTGAAAATATAAAAGCAAATAAAATATTCTGTAGTGTATCTTTATTTTTAATCTATGTGTGGGATGT